TGCGCATTTGTCCTTGTCAATCTCATAGTCTTGGCAGTGTCTGGCTGTAGGTGCATAAGGGCAGTGCAGCAGTGCAGTTCATTCACATGTGCATCAAGTCTGCCGTTCAGCGTGCCAAGGATGTGCTATGAAGAGTAGAGTAAAACTAATGGGCTGTTGGAGTCAGTACTCAGAACATCATAGACATGGCAGCAGCAGCAGCAGCAGCAGCAGTTGCAGCATTGTTGCAACTTTGAAATGTTCACAGTGTGTCCAGTCAGCCTACTGTGTAGACATGTTACAGTGTGTTTTGAAAGGCCAAACGTGCAGGTAGAGAGAGACAGACGCTAATAGGAAAAGCTTTGCAGAAAGTGAGCATGGCTGCTTCAACAGAGAGCCAGCTTCTGCTGCCAATGGGCAATACTGCTGAATTGTTTCAGTGGCCACAGCGAGTTGCCGCCGCGTTGGGTGCTGAAGAAACACGCAGGCTGCACAGCCTGCTGTTGGGCAAGATTATTGTGTGTTCAGATTACTCCGGCTATGGCAGCGAGATTGAGGCGCTGTCATGCTCCCTGCGCGCTTTGATGGACAAGAATGCTTGGCAGTTTGAGGGAGATGGGCCAATCATCTTCAGGCGTGTCTGTGACATTGGAAGCAATCCGCAAAATGTCCTGAAGCAGCTTTCTCGTGTGCGCTTCCAGAACTCCATGTGCGTGTTTGGTGATGTTGTTGAGCACTGTCACGAGCAAGCAGTGTTGTACTTGAGGGCTGCAACCCCAGGAGATGACGTGAGCCCTTCCGCAGCTGAGGCTGCACACGCCGAGATTCTGCAGTGGTTGCTGAAAAACAGATCATGGGCCTTGGCGCCAAGTGTCAAGCAGGAGTGCTTGGTCCATAGAGGCACCTGCCCTGTTAGCCCAAAGTCCACTTGGATGACCAATGCCAAGAACATGCTGAGCAAAAAGCGCAAGCATGCTGAGGCCATGCTGTCTGCAGTGCCTGAGCCCAGTCAGGATGATGGAGCAGACAAGAAGGATGCTTCAACAGCAAGAGTCAATGCCCTAGCCCGCGTTCTGAGCCCTGAAACGGATGAGGAATGTGGAGAGAAGTGTTTAGCCGCTCTTGACAGACCGCTTTCCATCAGCTTCGCTGGTGTGACCTGTGACGGCTGGAGCAGCATGGGCTCCCAAAGACGATACAGCCACAGCTCCGAGGTTCCTCACAGCGTGTGGGTGGCAGAGAGGGTGGCTAGGGCTGAAGATTCCCTTGAAGATCTAGCATTCTTGGAATGCACACAGAAATACCCTGCTGAGGTGAAGTTGGGCCCTCTCAAGAACACACACCGCGTGCTACACACCAAGGTAAGCCCCAACCGTTGCCGTGTCTTTGCAGCATGTATCAACACCCGGACCCTCACCTGGGTTGGCCCAACCAACTGGGAGTCAGACTTTAAAAACAAGTTTTATTGCCAGCGCATGTGCTCAGGCGATGCTTTGTTTGCAGCATCACAGAATGACCGCTCCCGGTACTATCAGGAGATGGCAGCCTTGCAAAAGAATTTTGTTGGGTGTGACCTGCCAGCTGCAGATTTGATTGCAGCCACATTGAGCCCAGGGCAGCAGCAGCGAGTTGAAAAGTATCTGGCAGCCAGAGATAGTTTGGAGGGTCCACGTGACGAGCTTTTGTTTGACGCTGACCACCATTTGGAAGCTCGCTGGATGGCAGGGCAGTACTGGCCATGTCTTCTCGCGCACGGGTGTATTATCTCTGCCCCGCGGAATGGCAGCATGTGCATTGCAACTCCTCTGGAGCATTTCAATGCTCAGGGTTTGCATCTCTTTCCAGCAACCTGCACTGACAATCCAGTCTCCCCGTTGCGAGCAATCCTTCATCAGTGCTGCAAAGGACTTCAGCTGAACATGCTGGCAGGTCGAGGTGTTCACCTGGGTGTTCTCAGCTCATGGATGTATTATGTTCTCAGCAATGTGGTTCCCACTTGGAAATCATATCCTTTGCGCGAGCCATTGTCGTAGGAAAATGTAGATCGTGATGGGCAAGATGCTAGCTCTGATGGGTCCTGGCAAGACGAGGTCCCTGGCGCTGGCATTGTTGATCCAAATGAGCTTTCCACCGAAGGCTGGTAGGTGGCCATCAGGGCCAGAGCGAAAGCATGCGTGGCCAGTGCCTTTCATGGCCTTGTGGCGCGCAGGTAGCTTGAGCAGCATGTGCAATTTTGGATGTGCAATGCAGATTTCAGCAGGTGTGAGGCCAAGTGGCCAAGTGTTGAGTGGCCTTCTTCTACACTTTTTGATCGCCCGAAGTTCTCTCGCGCCAGAGCCTGCACAAGGCTCAGAATCAGTCTGAGAGCTATGGCAGCATGCTGAAAAAAATTCAAGCCCGCATGTTCAGTAGCTTTGATTGTTCAAGATTCATTGGTCAATTGCACTTTGCCAGTCACAACTTGAATTGCTTGATGCAAGGCAGGCAGCAGGACTTCACTCACTGACTCAGGATGCTGGTTCAAGTTTCAGCTTCAAGCAGAAGCAATCTAATTGTCCATGTCAGTCCATAGGAAGAACTCAGTAACATCACGAGGCTTGGGGAAGCATGCATGATGTGCAGTGTGGGTAGTTAACTCAGGCTGTTCCAATGAAACTTGAGCAAGGTTGCGTTCCATTGTTCAGTGTCTGTGTGAGCCATTTACCATTTGTGTGACATCATTTTTTGTAGACCAGCATCTCCCTCAGCAGAATAGAGAAGAAGAAAGTTCATCATCAGAGTCCAGTGATTCCAGTGAAGACTCCCAGGATCAAAGCCAGCTGGGCCAAGCCGAGACTGCTGAGGAAACTGAAACCAGCGCAGCCCCTCCTCAGAATGTGACTGTGACAAAGGGGCCCACCAAAGGCAAGGGCCGAGGCAAGAGCAAGTCTCATGCAAACTGCTATGTTGCTGGGTGCCAGCAGCCAAGGTCAGGATACCGCGATTTGAGTTGTGCCAAACACAAGAGGGCCATGACAGCTATGCGTGCCCAAGCACGCCGTTGTGCTGATCAGCAGGTTTTGGATCATCTTGAGGAGATGCTTTCAGACCCTGACCAGGCTGCCAGGGCAACCCACTAATTTGAGTCTCAGCGCTGCCCACGCAAACACAATCGCTAGTCAGTGTGAGTATCAGCAGGCCCAGCTGGTGCGTGTGTCAGGATCACAGTGGCCACAGGTCTATGCAGTGTGCAGTAGCGCCAGGCAATGCCTTGAGTTTTGCCAGCCTTGGATGTTATGTCCTTGTGAAGCCGTGTGCTTTGCTGCATGCCTTCATACCACTTTCTTGATCAGCCCGAAATCCGAAAGTCGCTTTTGTGTGAATTTGGCGGTGTCTGACAGCAGCTCACAGACACACCAGTTTACCAGTTTTGTGGGCGGGTTGCAAAAACATCTTCAGAGTCACTAGCTGTGGGTGCGGCTTGTCTGCATGTTCAGTTCAGCACATGTCGCTTGTTGAAGATTGGTTGGTCAACTGCACTTTGCAAGTTGCCAAATCTGCTAGTAACAGATTTAACAGATTGAACCATTTGATTTGATGCAAGCTGCAAGGCATGACTGGACTCACTCAGGATGCTGGTTCAAGCTTTGAGCTCTGAGGGGAGCAAGTAAAGAATCAGGTGCAGCATGTTTCAGAACAGGGAGTATGCAGTGATCAGCGTTGCATTATGTTTGGCATTATTCTTTTTTCGTATCAGGACTTTGTGCGTCATCATTCTTGTAGATTGTAGATTGACACTGACAATCATTAACAATGGCAGACTTTGAAGATGAAGCAGAGCAGCAGGCTTTGTCAGACGAAGAAGCTTCGGAGTCAGCGTCCAGCGCAGGCTCTCAGGGTCAGGACGGCAAGCGAAGACAGTCAAAAGGTGGGGCCAGTGCGGCCTCTAGCAAGGGAGGTAAGTCTGTGAAGAAGGCACACGCAAAACCTAAGAAGGGCAAGGCTGCAAAGGACAATGCCTGCTACATAGCCGGCTGTGAGAAAAAAGTCCGCAAGCAAAAAAGCTGCGCTGAGCACAAGAAAATTGTTGACGCGATCTTGTATCAAGCTGAGAAGCAGGGCAAGAAGGCTGAAGTTGAACAAGTGCTCGCTGACCCAGTGCAGGCATCGAAGTCTGTGCAGGAATTTGAGGCCAACAATCCTCCAGGAAGGTTTCGTAAGAAACTGATAGACTTCACTCAGTGGCTCAAAACCTACAGCACTGAAACAGCGCAGACCAATCGCGACAGTGACGAGCTCTACTCCTTCCAGGACTTCTCAGACGAGAAGACAGCAGCTGGGTGGGACGCAAGTGCCATATTGAAGAAATGGCAGAGCTATGAGCGTGATCCTGCCATTGATCATGAAGACGATGGATCTCTTTGGCTACCAAAGAGAAAGCAGCGCATCAGAGATCAAACCAGGAGAATCTCAAGTTCCTTGATCGAGAGTTCCAAGAACATGAAGGGCTGCAAGCAACAAGATGTGGATGCGTTGAAGCAATTCACTATCACACCAGCTGCCGCTCAGACCAACAGCTTCTTTCGTGAGGCTGCAGGCAAGAGGAAGTCGCCTCCACGTCTGGAGGAGGATGATCTTCCAGTGGAGATTCAGGACAATAAGAAGAAGAAAGGCAAGCGTGTTGACTTGGCAAATGCTTCGCCAACAGTTTCGGACAAAGAGCTTGGCCAACTTCAGCGGGTCAAGGAGCAGATGAACGTTGCTCTCGGAGACTCATGCGATCACCAAGCCATTGAGTCAAGCTGGGCAGACTTTCCTAGCGACATGCCAAATGAGGGCATTGTGTGGGGAGGCATGGCTATTGCTTGATGCCTCTGAGTTGGATGCGCATGAGAAGAAGTTCGCCAACAGCATCTTGACACACAATGTGAGGTAGTTTGTCAGCTTGTTTGTTGTGATTCGTGATGTAGTGGGAATTTGGTGTGTGACAGTTGAGCCTTACATTCAGTTGTATGTTTGTTTGCTCACCTTGCTCTTCAGGCATGTCTGCTACGCCCACAGGGCAAGCACAGCCAGTGGTGTCAGCCCCTCCTCCTGAGGCTGAGGCCAAGTCCAGCGCTGCAGCAGTTCCCGCCAAGCAAGAATTGGCCGACTTGCCTCCTGATGCTGATTTGCGGAAGAAGATCACCCATGCCCTTCAGAAGGCCGCCAGGGCCAAAGGTGCCGCCTTTGTTCCAGTGCAGGAGTTGGACAATCTTCTGTCTCATCATGAGTTGGAATTCAGATCCCGGCAAGTGCTTGATTTCCAAACAGCGGATGAGTTGGACGAGCACAAGAATATCACAAAGAAGGTCATGGGTACAGCTGCGCAGCTGCGTGAAAGTATCCATAAAGCCGCTGCCAAGTTGGTTAGCCATTTGGAAAACATGCAGCGTGAGGCAGCTCGTTCTGAGAAGAAGGCGGCAACGCAGAAGGAGAAGGATGCTGTTGCGAAAGCAAAAGCGCAAGCCAAAAAGGCAGCTGATCTTGTGAAGAAGGAGGAGAAGCAGGTTCCAGCATTGTTTGCGCTTCAAGCCTCAACCGCCAAAGCCAAGGTTCCAGTGCTGAACCATGATGGTTGGATGAAGGCAGGCTTCAAGTTCGATTCGTCAAAGCCAACCCTCTTGAAGTGGGATGGGTTTGAGAAGGTGTGGGCGGCAAGTGCAAAGGTCCAAATGGCCTTATCTGCGTATGGAGGGCAGTACAGTCACCCACGAAAGAGTTTGGCAAAGGGCAGATTCCTATGCGCCCCAAAGCTGGCAAAGAGGAGTCAGAGGCATTCCTCAGCAAGCTTTTCAGCCAGCTGCAGGTGACGGGCAACATGGTTGAACTCACTGGCCAGAATGAGCAGTTGTTGAAAGAAACATGGCTCTACGGTTATGCTCCTGACTTCACCTTTGCGTCTCCCACCCCACAAGGAATGGGCATGCTCAAAATTCTGGCGGCCGGCGAAGTCACCATGTACATCATGAAGCTGTCAGAAGCAGCAGCCTATTTCCAGAAAAAAGGCAAGACCCTGAATGCCGACACCTTGCCGGAAATCCTCAACACAGCGGCTGTTGATGACTTGAATGCCTTTTGTGAGAATGGTTGTCAGGTCTTCTATGTCAAGCAGCAGAAGTTCGAAGCAGTGTATGTTCCGGCTGGTTATGTGCTTTTTGAGCGCTCATCGAGCGCGGTGCTCATCTATGGGCTGAGGAAGACTGTCCTCCTTAAGGGTGATCCATCTGATTATCAAGGTGTGATCGATTTCGTCAAAGCATCAAATAAGGATGTTTCACGTTATGAGCAGTGCTTGGAACGCATTGTGGCTGCTCAGCAGCCACAAGCTGCGGCTTGAGTGCACTCCCACGTTCAAGAGTTCAGGATATTCAAATTAATGTTTGAAGCAAGTCCATGTAGCCACAGAGCTGTGTGACTGTGTGTGATATGTTCCAACTCCAACACTTTCCCTTTTGAGGTTTCGCCGTTCTGGAATGGCAACACAGTCTGGGGTTCAGAGCTCTTGTGCGAGTGGGAGGTAGGCGTAGGGGTTTGGCCTGGCAGGGGTAGCCCGGGCTAGCCAGCCAGAGACCACTCATGTCCGATTGCAGTGAGAAATCGTACCAGGTCCCCTGCTCACATCTGTTTCTGTGGCTTTGGCATTGCTGTCTAAACTTCAAAGCTTCCAGCTATTCCGCCGAAGCCGTTGCAGGATTTTCGGATTAAAAAAAACAAAGATCAATCATCAGCTGTGAATTCAACC